TCACAGGTCGCTGACACGCCTACCCGATTGCCATGATCCCTGACATGGTTCAACTTCCTCGGCTCACGGGTCGCAGGTATGCCTACCCATTCACCTTGGAGTATCCCCACGCCAGCGGCAGCGTCCTTGCCGCCATCTTTGCCTGAGCTCCCCTTCGAGTCTTTATTACTCTTTTTCTTCTTCTTTCGGCTTTCACCTTTTGGTGGATCTTTGTGTGAACTTGCATCGGGCTTCTTCTTGTTTTCGGCAGCCTCGACTTTGGCCTTCTTTTCCTTCTCTTTCTTCAACTTGATCTCCTTGAGCTTCTCGGCCTCAGCTTCCAGCTTGCCTCGACGAATGATGACATCCCTCTCCTTGGCGGACAAAGCTCTCCATTCTTCTGGACTATAACTGCTCTTTGGCCTTGGTGACCCTCGTACTTCTTTGCGACCATCAGGACCAACACGATAAGGCCGTCCTCGTTTGTCGAGCTTGACGTGCTCGCCAATGTCGCTGAGGTAGATGATACCGTCACCAGGTTTGCCCATAGAGTGGTGTTCTGGTCCGTCATATGGACCCAGTGGAGGTTCGCCATCAGTAGGAGGCATTGGGGGTTCACCAACAACTTCGACCTTGTCACTCTTCTCTTTGTCGAGCTTGATGTTCATCTCGTTCATCATCCGGTCGAATTCCTCTTCTTGACGTTCAACTCGGTTGGTGATCTTGCTCTTCTTGGGTTTGTCATCACCTCCATCTCCGTCATCATCATCTTCATCATCGTCATCATCATCTTGTTGATCTTCAAGAAAGTCAGGTGAACCTTCAAGACGATCTTTCACAGCCAACACTTCCAATGTGGTATTCACCTTCTCGTAGATGTCTTTGCACGGGAATGTCAATGGCAAATGCACCTCGATCTTCTCAGAGAGGTGTGGATGACGTAACTTGTCAATGATGGTCTTGGCGTCGAAAGAGTAGTTCTGTTTTGTCATGTCCGACAATGCCCAAGCCATGTATTGTCTTCGCCAATTGATGCCCGGTGCGATTTCATATCCAGCAAAGACACCAGGAATGCCCTTGGGGTCAAACTTGTGAGCTTGTTCATTGGCTCTCGCTCCGCTTGGTTTGAAGTAAACCAAAGCACCAAATGGGATCTTCTCACCCTTAAACTCGGCGCCATGGAGCTTGCACCAAGCACTCACATCATCTTCCCCAGGTTCCACATTGAGTAGATGACATACACAACGTATGGCAAACTTCCAGAAACATGCTGGGAGTCCAGCCTCAAGTAGACATGTGGTAGTTGTTGCAATGACGAACTGGTTGTTGCGCTCGGCAAGGGAGTTCGTTGATGGTCTTCCCGGCAGAGCATGGTCAAGGAATCTTGAGAGCGTCCATGCCCTTAACAAACTGTCTGGCTTTATCGGAATAGGCTTCCCTAATTGTTCGTCTTCCCATAAAGTATTTTACCGCTCTCACAACATCTTCAGTGTTCTTGGTTGGAGAGGGGTAACTTTGAATGATGCCGGTAAACCTGTCACGAATGACAAGAATCTCCTTGACCGTGTCGTAGCCCAGCTTGGTCGTCTTCCGAGTGTCCATGAAGTCAAAGGTGATGAGGTCGCCGAACTTGGTGAGCTTTCGACGGAATGCGCCTCGATAGGTCTTGTGGTGCTTCATCTTGGCTCGTACGCAGGAGTTGCAGTACGGGTTCTTGTATCGATGAGTTAGTAGGTGTTCCAGTGTGCGAGCTTCATGCTTTAAGGTACCTCTTTTCGACAGTCGCACTCCTCCTTCAGGATCATCCACATCGATATCATCCTCATCATCTTCTTCTTCATGCGGTCCATTCTCGACACCAATCTCATCTTCATCATGTTGATCAACTTCTGGATCTTCATCAGCTGCTGGAATTCGATCATCGTCGTCATCCCCGTCCTCATTCTGGCCAGGGACTTCATCAACGTGAACGTCCTCCTCATCCGGTCCTTCGTCACGGATAGAAGGTTCATAACCGTCGTCATCATCCTGTTCTTCTCCAGCTGCTGCAGGAACTGTCTTTCGCTTAGATCTTCTCTTCTTCTCAGTCTTCCTCCGGAGACTCGTTGGCCCGTCGACGTACGTACCAACTCCATCATCCGATTCAGACATTTCATCACCACTTTCACCATCAAGGAATATCGTCCTCGATGCAGTGCTGTTGCCCATGAGACCCAACACCTTCATCACCAACTCAGCCTCTTGGTCGGGCGATGGCCGATAGTCTTTCGCCCCGAGGTAGACATACGGGATAAGATCATGAACTTCCATCTTAATCTTGTCCCCTTCAGAGTTGATCATGTAGGGTTCTCTCCCACTAGGCCAAACAAAGGTGTAACCTTGTTCCATGCATCGCTTCCCCAATGAAAGCACTGATGGAGTGTCCTCCAACACATGTGCCCTAGCAGGCTCATTGAATGTGTCGAATTCCAAGTCCACCATAGTTGAGGTTGATGTGATGCCATTGGCAGTGTGGAAGTTAACACTTGAACTCTCGTATGTGTCAATGTCCATCCTGTCAACTCTCGTTGATGACATGAGATCATGACCGCTTCCAGAGTCCATGATGAAACGTCTGTCCTTGAGCTCGATTGGCATGGTGATGCACATGATGTTGTCACGACGTCCATACTCTCCAGGAACGTGAGGGATAACCTCCTCGTAACACATCTCTGCCCGTGGGTTGTCCTCCAGATATTCATTGCTGTTGATCTTGAGCTTGATATCACTCTTGGGGCCCAGGGCAATGTGCACCTCATCTATGTCCGAAAACTCGTTGAGGTCGTCCATCAAAATGCCAATTGCACGTGCCCGCGTCATACCCAGTTTGGCTTGTAGTACCCAGTGTTGGTCGGTCATGATATCATGGGTAGACTTGCACGGCAAAGACTGTTTCTGCAGCTCTTGACAAGTTTCTCTTTGGTCTCCGATTCGAGCACTGCACAAAGTCATGCTTCACGTACTCGAATGTGTCCACATGCTCCATGAATTTGACATCCATCTTGACCTTCTTCTCACTTGGCATTGCACTCACGATGAAGTCATCATCATACTCACGGACCAATGCTGGGGTAGCCTTGGCATCAGACGTCTTAGCCGAAGGTGCGGCCTTCTTGCCCTTCATGTTGGGGTCGTGTTTGAAGGTACATTTGTCACCCTTCTTACAGTCGCGCTTCAGCCATCCGTAGCAATTGTGGTCCTTCTTTCCTCCAGGTGTCTGCGATCTTCTGGGCGTGGTTGATCTGCCATTCCTACCTTTACCATCTTTACCCTTCCTTTTGTCCCAGTGATATTGGGAGTGACTGTATTGGCATTTGCCACCATGTTTGCAATTCCCCTTGTTGAAGTGGAAATGACAAAACGTCTTTGATGGATCCCTGGTAGAAGGTGATCTAGATTTTCGGCCACCCTTGCCCTTGCCTTTGCCATGACTTTTGGGATTGCCGGAAGGTAGTACTGGGGCTCCAGGCTTACCTTTGGGTGCTGGAGCACTAGGCTTCCCGGTCTTACCATCTTTGGGTGCAGGTGTAGGTGCTGCAGGCTTTGGAGCAGGAGTAGTCGGCTTGCCAAGATTGGCGTAGTCCGTGGCGAACTTGTCTCGGGCTGCGATGTTCCCTTCCTCACGCACACGTGCAATGTGCCTCTTCATGATTTCCAGCAACTCTTTGTAGGTCTTCTTCTTGTCATCATTGTCCCTACCTTTGAAGATAGTGAGGTCGACATGCAGTGCTTGAGAACCATCAATCTTCCTCAACAAATGATCACGAAGGGTGTTGTCGGACGGTATGTCCTCAACCTCCATGTTCGCAATGATTTCAATCCATGCATTGAGGAATTTGTCCATCTCTTTACCACCCCGATATTGTAACTTGTAGATGCTGGCATTGAACAAGACTTCATCTTTGGATGTCGTTCTGAAATGATCGAGAGCCATTGCCAAAATCTCCCTGCCCATCAGAAAGTTCCCTTCTTTTCCAAGCACCTGACTCCTCTGCCTTATCTTTACTCTAACTTCGGATGCCACTTCACCTGCAGCATCCACCATGTTCTGCAAGGCAATCGATAGCTTGGAGTCAATGGACTGGAATCGAAAATCACCTGAGTCAGCGAGTTCAGCATAGTTCGGGTCTGGTAGCTGAGCCGGTGTAAGCCATCTCCTCCATGCAGCTGTGTCAGGATCACCAGATGCAACGCAGACAGCTTGCACAACGTTCGATCGCCATACATCAAGGTCCTGGCACTTCGGCCACGGCTTGACGACGACCTTCTCATGCTCTTTCCTCGATATCCGAGTGACCCAATCTTTTCCATCTTGGCCAATGTCGCTGTTGGCAAGGCTAGCATCTTTGCCATCTTTTCGGCCCCAAAGTCCAGGTGGGTTGTCAGGTACTGGATCGTATTCAGGTTCATTACTCCCTTGCAATGTCTCTTGGCCTTCCTCCACCTGTTGTAACCAACTCTGGTACTCTTTCATCTCATCATAGTTTTGTTGAGCTCGTTCTTCAGCTATACGGAGCTTCTCGCGAAGGTCATCCATCTCGTTGGTGGTTTGGTCCCCAGCGGAAGAACACCGCCACGTGGTGGAGACGGGCATGCACTGAGGCCAGAGTGCATGAGCAAAGTGATTCCAAGAAAGGACTCCTGTCCCCACAGGAGCAAAAAATCAACAAGAAAGTTAAAAAGATGCCCAAAGAAAATAATAAAATGATTGAAGCTAAGACTCAATGGAGTCTGGGCATGTCTGGGCCGCCTTTCCCAACCATTCCCAATGCTTTGCTTTCTGCTCTGCTTGGTGCAACCATGCTTTGCTTCTCACGTGGTCTCACCACGTGTGTGTCACATGGTAACACCTACTGTCATTTTTGACAACTACACCGGCCCTGTGTGGGGGCCCCCCGGTTGCGATTCTGGGTGTGATTCTCTTGTTGCTATGGCTGCCAACGTGGAGAGTTGCGCTTGTAGCGCTGTTTGCCAGCAGCGCCTGAGACCAGCGATTTCACTGCAGGAGATGGGTGGAATGGATGCGTTGTGCTGCAACCACAGGTTTGGTACTTTGTTTAAGTATGGGGACTTGTGGATGTGCCTTGTTTGGCTTTTGTTTCACTTTTCTAATTTCAAGGCCTTTTCCAGGGTTGTCCAAATGACCCTCTTGAAAATCAAATGATGAAACCAAATTCTGAGTCCCACAAACAAAATCAAACAAACAAATGATGGCAATCAGCTGGATTTCTTTTTCGCACACAGATCGGACTCCCCCTATTAACTATTGAGTTTTTGTTAGTTCGATCACCAAAGGGTGCTTTACAAAGATGAAGGCTTGGCTGGAGTGACAAGTTAACTGGATTTCCTCGAGATGAAACTCTATTTGCTGTAGTATTTTGGTTGAGTAAATTATGTTTTATTTGCATCCGATTGATATCAAAGAGAATAGTTTAGCCTGGTGTTCATTTGGTTTGGGCCTTATTGAAATCAAATAAATTATGCGCTCCGGAGTGCGCAATTTATTTTAAAAAATAGTCAAGACCTTTGAATACCAGGCCACGCTATCAACTCAAATATATTATACCTCATGGAATCCTCATGGAATCCATGAAACTTCCTGTATCTTTCGATTTGTTAAACAACAGTTAAACTAAATCACGCGCTCCACAGCGCGCAATTCATTCAAATAAAGTTCAAAGCCATTTAGTACCAGCCTAAACCATTGTGGACATGAAGCCTACTTTATTCAACAAACATATTAAAATAAATTACGCGCTCCGGAGCGCATAATTCACCATATCAAGTTCAAAGTCATTTAGTACCAGCCTAAACTATTGTCTTGTTGCGCAATTCTTCTTGAAGGCGGAACGGCGCGAACCCCATTGTTGAGTGATTCTTCTAGAACAGGGATTGGCCCGAACCCCACTGTTGAGTGATTCTTCTTGAACGGGGATTGAGCCCGAACCCCACTGTTGAGTGATTCTTCTTGAACGGCGATTGGCCGAACCCTACTATTGAAAGATTCTTCTTGAACGGGGATGGCCGAACCCCATTGTTTACTGGTTCTTCTTGAATGGAGATTGGTCTGAACCCCACTGTTGAGTGATTCTTCTTGAACGGGGATTGGCCGAACCCCATTGTTTAGTGGTTCTTCTTGAACGGGGATTGGCCCGAACCCCACTGTTGAGTGATTCTTCTTGAACGGGGATTGGCCCGAACCCCACTGTTGAGTGATTCTTCTTGAACGGGGATTGGCCGAACCCCACTGTTGAGTGACCCCGTTCCTGGGGATTGGCCCGAACCCCACTGTTGAGTGATTCTTCTTGAACGTTGGCCCGAACCCCACTGTTGAGTGATTCTTCTTGAACGGGATTGGCCCGAACCCCACTGTTCAGTGATTCTTCTTGATTTGGCTGAACCCCAATGTTCAGTGATTCTTCTTGAACGGGGATTGGGCCGACTTGTTGAGTGATTCCTTTTGAACGGGGATTGGCTGTTGAGTGATTCTTCTTGAACGGGTATTGGCCCGAACCCCACTTTTGAGTGATTCTTCTTGAACGGCGATTGGCCGAACCCCACTTTTGAGTGATTCTTCTTGAACGGCGATTGGCCTGAACCCCACTGTTCAGTGATTCTTCTTGAACGGGGATGGTCGAACCCCATTGTTGAGTGATACTTCTTGAACGGGGATTGGCCCGAACCCCACTGTTGAGTGATTCTTCTTGAACGGGGATTGGCCCGAACCCCACTGTTGAGTGATTCTTCTTGAACGGGGATTGGCCCGAACCCCACTGTTGAGTGATTCTTCTTGAACGGGCATCCTAGGCAATGAGTGATTCTTCTTGAATCTACTCAATTAGGTAGTAGGGAAAAACCTAACCCCCTTGTTGAGTGATTCGCGTTGAACAGGTCAACAAGGGAGTGAGGAAAAACCATGAAAAACCTAACTCCCTTGTTGAGTAATTCTTGTTGAATAGGTGACATCAATTGGAACACAAAGGGCCCAACAAGGGAGTGAGATAAAACGTAACTACCCTCTTGAGTGATTCAACTTGAATCATTCAACAAGGGAGTTAGGTTTTTCCTAACTCCCTTATTGAGTGGATTTGTGTTTTGCCAAGATTCCACCGCCAATCGAAGCTGATGGCTGATCCAATCCAGCTGCGGAATCATGTGGGGACAATTCCTCCCCTAAATGCAAAACATCACCATCAGCGCCAAACAGGCAATAGAAGGGAGTGGAGATGGAAGAAAATTGCGAGTCCATGTAACCACACTTAATCGTGACATTATAGTGTCTCCATTTCCCACCAACAAAAAATGATAAACAATTTGAAAAAATACTTAGACAAGTAGATTACTGCTTTCATAAAAGTGAGCATGTACATGCCCACAGTAATGGTAGCATCAAGCTGCGGAATGAATCTGAACATATCTGAGCCCAAGGGCCCCAACAAAGATGTTGGTATATGGAATCCGTAGCCTGATGTTAAATGGTTTTGAATGCCATTTAAAGTAAATTACACCTTCAATATTTGAATGTGTTGAACAAAGTACGTTTCATTTAGTTACATGGGATCACCAATACGAGACAATAGTTTAGGCTTGTAATAAACGGCATTGAACTTTATTTGAACAAATTACGCGCTCCGGAGCGCGTAATGATTACGCGCTCCGGAGCGCGTAATTGACTTTAGTATTTAAATGTATTGAATAAAGTACATGTTTCTTACATTGGGTCCAATAATATAAGCCCTATAGGCTGGTACTAAATGGCTTTGAGCTTTGAACTTTATTTGAACAAATTACGCGCTCCGGAGCGCGTAATTATTACGCGCTCCGGAGCGCGTAATTGACTTCAGTAGTTATATGTGTTGAAGAAAGTGCGTTTCATTTAATTACATGGGATCACCATACGGGACAATATAGTTTAGGCTGCTACTAAATGGCTTTGATCTTGATTTGAATGGATTTCACGCTCCGGAGCGCGTCATTATTACCCGCTCCGGAGCGCGTAATTGACTTCCGTAGTTATATGTGTTGAAAAAAGTGCGTTTCTTTTAATTACATGGGATCAGCATACAAGACAATAGCTTAGGCTGGTACTAAATGGCTTTGAACTTTATTTGAATGGATTACGCGCTCCGGAGCGCGTCATTGTTACGCGCTCCGGAGCGCTTCATTATTACGCGCTCCGGAGCGCGTAATTGACTTCAGTATTTACATGTGTTGAAGAAAGTACGTTTCATTTAATTACATGGGATCACCAATACGAGACAATAGTCTAGTCTGGTACTAAATGGCTTTGAACTTTGTTTGAGTGGATTACGCGCTCCGGGGCGCGTAATTATTACGCGCTCCGGAGCGCGTAATTGACTTCAGTATTATTTACATTTGTTGAAGAAAGTGCGTTTCATTTAATTACATGGGATCACCATACGAGACAATATAGTTTAGACTGCTACTAAATGGCTTTGATCTTGATTTGAATGGATTACGCGCTCCGGAGCGCGTCATTATTACGCGCTCCGGAGCGCGTAATTGACTTCAGTAGTTACATGTGTTGAAAAAAGTTCGTTTCATTTAAATACATGGGATCAGCATACGAGACAATAGCTTAGGCTGGTACTAAATGGCTTTGAACTTTATTTGAATGGATTACGCGCTCCGGAGCGCGTCATTGTTACACGCTCCGGAGCGCGTCATTATTACGCGCTCTGGAGCGCGTAATTGACTTCAATATTTAAATGTGTTCAAAAAAGTGCGTTTCATTGGGTCACTATACAAGACAATAGTTTAGGCTGCCACAGAAAAATTGAGCTAAATTCCAACAGTTAAAAGTGATTTTCTGAATGATATCAAATGGAGCTTTTGGACGACCCTGTTTTCTCAAAGAAAGAAACGGACTTTGGAAAGAGCAAGTGGTCGGCATACTCGAAGAAAAGGATTTTGCGATGTTGGAAAATAGGCCGTCGAAGGTATGCCAGAAAATGGTGCATGTATCGCATCAGAGGCCGTTTGCTCCGGCATAACCGGCTGAAAATCAAGTTTACCCAAAAGCTGCATAAAAGGTGTGTCGCACATGTTTTGCATGGTGATGTCGGGCAAAGTTTTCCGACTAGGGCAAGTCATGTACAGAAGTGTGTCGACAGAGTGTGCAGTAAGACTTTTCGTGTCTTTTTCTTCAATGGTGGAGTGGACGTCGCAAAGCCTCTTTGGGATCCATTCTCCTTCGTTTTCTGAGACACTTGGCTGAGTTCGATCCTTGGGTTGGGTGTAGGGTTGGAGAAGCCACCAACCCTGGACCTGGTGGAAGTCAAGCTTCGGCTCGAAAAAGAGCCAAGAATCAACAAGGTCAGTCCCAAGAAGCAGGCCTTGCTGCTCAGTTGATGGGTGTTCTTGAAAATTTTCAGGCTGGGCCTAAGCATAAACGTGCTAAAATCAAATCAGACAATGACTCGTCTGGAAACCAGCTGGCAAACACGTTGCTGGCTATTTTAAACAATGCTGTGCAACGAAATTGGAGTGATACCAAAGTTGCTGCCTCCATGATTG